CGTGCTGACGTTTCGAAAACATCTTCGTTTCGATCATCAGAGAGGTGAGGTAGTCGTTCCTGCTTGCCATGGTCACGAGATCGAAATGGAGTCATGTGCTCGGCAGATTATCTTTTAAATAAAACTAATAAAACAGTCGCCTATTGGTCGCAGTTAGGCTCAGTCTACTACAACCATTGAACTACTCTGATTATTTTGGCATATACTGTTACAAAAAAGGATTTCGAAAAGTCGCTTTCTGTCGTGCATCGAAATTTAATGTAGGAATCAAAAGAAGTTATCTTAATGGTGGCAATTTTCCAAAGGACGCATTCTTGGCATCTACAAGACCGTTTTATTTTGATTTGATATTTAACCAAAAATATATGTTAGAAAGACTCCTGGAAATTCCCTGTATGTCTTGCTGCTCGATGTGGATTTTTATCAGTAACCTGCTTCCGCAGTTTGATTGTATCTATACAAGTCAAGGCACTTGACTTATTTTCCCTCCTTAGGGGATTGAAAATGCGCTCAAAAACCGTGGGTCACTACGTTCAGGCTGTTGCCATTCGCCGCAAGAGGATGCATTCGTAAAATCCGTTCCCCGACTGCGGTTGGACGGAGAGGCATGTGCGGAAACGCAGCGTGGAACCGCCACAAAGATGTTAATGACACGGTAATGATTCATATCCTACTTAATGTTATCAGTAGGCATGTTTTTATTAATTTTAAAATGGTTGGAAGTGGGGTTGCGAATTCTGTGATTCGCAAGTTTCCGCCTATAAGTATCGGATCGGGTGGTTTCCCTAAGTTATATTTACATTTATTTTTTATTATTATTATTTCTATTTATTCATTTTATTAACTAAATCTACTTCTCTGATTGATTTTCTGCATTGTTTTTTTCAAAGTCCATTATTTCAATTTGTTAATTCGTAAATAAATTAGGTTTCATTTTTACAATACGTCACAAGCAGCTGGTGATAGTGAATCGTAGACTATTGATAGAGTGCTTAAAAATAACCATGCGGTAGTGCCCCGGACTTGTATCGAAGCTCGCTAAACCTTTTGATAGCTTTTCAATCGGGCACCACCAGCTACGAAAATATTTCACTACTGGAATCAGAAGTTTTAAGAAACTGGAAACTTATCCATGGAGCAGTGGGCTGGAAGAATTTCAAATTAAATCATTAAAGGAAAGCTGGTAACTTTCGTAAAGGGGAATGGTGGGACAAATAGACAAGAAATTGCACGAGCGTGTATGAATCCACTGAGTATTCTTCTCAGATATCTCAAGAAAGGAAAGCTAAAGCTTTGCAAGTTTCCTTTGAATCAAGTCAAGTCAAGCCGTCAAGATAACTTCCTAAGCCAGAAACAAGACGGGTTGATAATTTTTTGTAGTGCTTTGAGTTGACCCAAGTGTGAAAAACTCGAGGCTTTCGGCGGAATTTGAACCCGCGTAGTAGGGAAAGCTTTTACCGAAAACCAACGCTCTAACCACTGGGCTACAAACGCCCCAATTCTCGAGGCGTTTGGCGGGATTAGTGGTTAGAGCGTTGCTTTCCGGTAAAGGCCTTCTCTACTTGGCGGGTTCAAACCCCGCCGAACGCCTGGAGTTTTTCACAATTGGGTCAACTCAAAATTAAGCAAATCTGCCCAACCTCATAATAATGTATTGTTGTGTGGTCCACGGATGGAACGATATATGGATTTAGCGCTGGCGTACGGAGCCCTGCGCAGTCACCGCTGGGCATGCAACATTGATAATTGATTGGCTTATAGCCCATTTAAATGTCGTTTGTTCTTCTTCTAGAGGGATCTCTAGCGGTGCATTTCTGCAGCGTTTCGTAAGCTCAGAATAATAAATAAACTGTTCCGAGTGTCGACTTGTCTTCTTCTTTACGCATGCAAACGCCTGGACCCCGCACCATCGCATCAGTTATATTATATTTATAATATAAAACATGTAGCGCGCTCGTTTTTTGGTTAGTCCCACACGTGTTCTGCTCTCGCGTGAGTACGTTAGCTTTGAGTATTCTCCTTTAGCTTGGATGTTTGACTTTGCCGATGAGTTGTGACTGGAGCGAAACATACTTCCATTGCTGTCGCCTGAGGTGGAACAATC